CTTGCTTGTGAGTCATATCAAACCTAATGCTGTTTACATGAACAATTAACAACGTGAAGCTTGTATACTTCTGTCTATATTGGGTAAACTATATGGCAACAACCTTGATAATCAATATGGAATTAAACCATAAAGCTTCTAGGTTGTGTGCCCTTATTTCATCACCATTCTTTTCATTCAATAAATTTTCTCTCTACTCTGTGTGAAACCTCTTTGGCATTAGCTTTATGAGGGCCTGCAGGCACTTCTTGGGGTGAAACATGACATGGATGAAGGATTTTCATGGACAGTTCTTCATCAGTCCTCTGTTGGGAAGGAGGATGAAATAGGAAGGGATAATAACATGTTTAAAATAGAGTGCAACTCAAGATTAGCTGTTGCATTCTCAGTCATGGATGAGTGTTTTATGCCTATTCTTGATCAGCGAAGCAAAATGAATGTGATTCAAAATGTTGTCTACAACATCGGGTAAGTATTGTTTTTCCGAGAGCAGTGATCTCCATTAATTTGGTGTACATTTTTAAAGTGTTAAACTATGCACTTTGTTCCCAGATCAAATTTTAAACGGCTGAATTTCTGTGGGTTCTACACTGTCATTCTAGAGAAGGGTGACGACCTTGTTGCTGCTGCATCCATAAGGTTGACTTTATGCTGATTTTCTTTAGCTAATTTTCTCTTCATATTGCTTAGCCTATGAGTTTAATAATATTTTGCAAAGATGTCTTCATCATTTTATGACCTATTCCCTGCGTCCTTTATTAATCTTCGTGGTTGGACTTTACATGCCATTTATGAAAGAAAAGTTTTCAGTGGGATTTCCAATAACTTAACTGAAGTGGGAATAGTATAGTATGGAGTATATAATTGACTTGTTAAATGTTTACCTTGAAATCAAAGAGCGGGATAATTTAGGGGTGTACGAAATAGAAAGTATGAAGATGAGCTGAGGGCGCAGCAAGTAAGTTAATTTTTGGTTCATAAAAGAGTTGCTCAAACTTTATTTAGTACTCGTATCCTGTATCTATTATGGTTGTTGTTGTTACTCAAAGTATTCTTATTGGGATAAAGGTTACTTTTTGACTTCCTGTGCTTGTATGAACTCTGTATTCATTATTTTATGTGTTGCTTTGAGTCATTATATTTATCTTTTTCTGTAATACAAGTTTCTCTACATCTCACTATCCAATTGGGTGTTCAGGGAAATGGTAGTTATGTGACATTTTTAGGAGGCTAAGTGAACTTATGAATTAAAACTTCATAGTAATGCGTAGTCTAGAGTCTTCTCACCGTAATGCTTTGTTTGTTTGCATAATTATTATGTGATTCGTTTTTCGAAGAAATAAAATGAATATTCTTGTTGCTGCTTCTCATTTATGTATAGGCTACATGGGAATGTTTTGGCTGAGATGCCATTTATAGGCACGCGGTACAAATATCGTCGTCAAGGGATGTGTCGCAGGCTCTTATGTTCCATTGAAACGGTAATTGTCGTTACTAGGTGCGATTTATTGTATTTAGAGATTGACTGTTTTTGCATTCTTATCTATTATTACATAAATCTTTTTACCAGGCACTTAGCTCACTTGGGATCAAGAAATTAGTCATACCTGCCATAACTGAACTTAATGAAACATGGACAAAGGTCTTCGGTTTCATGCCCCTTGAAGAATCAAAGAGACGTGAAATGATGCACATGAGCTTGATTGTTTTCCCTGGCACTGATATGTTACAAAAGCCTGTATTGAAGAAGCATCAAGGAACAGAAGAAAGTCATATCATGTCCCCAGGTATCTCAATCAAAATCACCATTTATACATAATGCTTTTAGATTGATGTACTTATTCCTTGTGGTTTCTATGGTTTAGGAGAGAAAGTGGGGCAAAATACATAAATGGCACCGTAATGCAATTTGGCACCCAACTATTGAATAAAACAAGTTGGTATCCGAAGTACTATTTCAAATTTCAGCCATAAATTTCAAACAAGTTGGTACCCAACATTGCCTGGATTTTAGTATTTTACATGCATTTCCTAAAACATCAAGTATAACTCAGTACTCATTAGTTCACTTAGTTGATGGGGGGTCATCAGGAGTTGAATCCATTATGATTAGCTATATGTTTCAGACTCGAAGTGATAATTAGGTCTACGAATTATTTCAACACAAGTGTATGGAGTGGAGAGCTTATGTGGAATTAGTGCTGCCGATCAAATGATTTTATGTTGGAATTGCTTCAATGTATTATCGGTGTAGACAAGAAATGTACTGAAGGCAATGCCGATTTGTTTCATTTGATAGTTCTGGGCTTATGATACCACTTATCAGGATATATTGAGAAGAGAAAAAGATAAGAAAAATGGTTCAATACTATAACTGTTTGGCTATAAGAGAAATACGAAAGAGAATGAAATAACCTCCTTTAATAAAATAAAAATTCATATAGTGATCCATCATTATAAGCAACCAATGAAGATCATATCATCATATAATTTCCCAAGCTATTTATTGCATTTCAGCCTTTCAGTATCATAATAATCATTTTACTAATCATGCTCTGCCAGTCCCCTAAAGATGCAAGAAAGACAGAAAAGGTTGAACAAAAATGGTGGCATTTTCTACTTGTGATACTCATGTATAAACTTCTAATGTAAAACTTTCCATGGACCTGATTGCTGCAGATGCTATAGCTGAGCTTAATCCCAAACAAAAATTAGATGCCATTGAGGCCCTAGAGTCTCATTCCACATCACTAACATCATCACATGGCAGCTTCTTGGAAGATACCCCATCGGACATGAAAAGTGGATTTGAATCTTTTGTACGGCAGGAAGGTCTCAAGGTCCAGTAGGGCTGGCTTTACAGCCTTGTCAATTCTGTATATATATAAAGGATGTGCTCGAGGGATATGCAGTTGAACTCTTGCCTCTGGGTTAACTACATACATATGGAGTGGATCTTTTGCAGAAAATGTGTGAATATCTAACTGCTGCATTTACGGTGCGATTTTGATGATTGGGGAAGAATCACCTTTTGAGGGATTTTGCTTCTTCTCAAGTCTTTTTGTCCAAATGTCCAATGCATAACATATCAAAATTAGCTACGGTGCCTGGTTGGTGTCCCGAGGTGTACTTTATGTTGTATTATTATTACTACTACTAGTATTATTATTATTATTATATTATTATTTGATCATGTTTGAGATCAGTTGAATCTATTCAAATTTATGAAATTATACCTGAAGTTGAAGTTGTTGAATTGGCTAATTTGTTGAATTATGAAAATAAAAAAGGACTATTCCCTGATTCCTCCGTCTCACGAATTATTCCCACTTATAGTTTGAGATGTTCCAAAAAATTCTTCTCATTTCTTTTTTAGAAGAGAAAACTGTCAAATAGGTCATCGAACTTTCATAAAAATGTCAATTAAGTCCTTCTATAGTAGGTTTTGTCCGGCCGTCGCGATTTGGGGCAGTTCCCGGTGGAGTTTTTTGATGAATTTTTTTTAGCATCTAATTCACCAAGTCTAGTTTATTCATACCAAATTTCAGCTAAAAATTCAATCGAGAACACATTCAAATTAATTTTTTAAGATAACCGCGCATTTTTGCGTTCTCGAATTAATTTGAATGCGCTCCTGATTAAATTTTTAGCTAAAATTTGGTATGATTAAACTAGACTTGATGAATAAGATTCTCTAAAAATTTCATCAAAAAATTCCACCAGGAACCGCCGCAAATCGCGATGACCGGACAGAGTCTCCTATAGAAGGACCTAATTGACTTTTTTATGAAAGTTCGAGGACCTATTTGACAGTTTTCCCTTTTTAGAAAGTTTTGTGTGGTTAACATTCATATACTTTTATCTTAATCAAGTATAATCATACATTTTCATTTTATTTCTACTTTATTCTCACTTTCTTAATAGTGTGTCAAGTCAATCTGGCTAGTGTTTTTTGCAACGGAGGGAGTAAATGAAAATAAACTCTAACAGTTTTGCATCAAATCTGGCAAAATATAATCTAGTTTCACTTATTAGATAACTTAAATCAAAATTTAAAGTTTTATGAAAATAGTTGGCCGTTTTTCATCATTTGTAATGAAGTCAAAGACGCACTGTTTTTCACTTTTTTGATTTAAAATAAGATGGAATAAAGCAAAATGACTTACCAAACTTTTTGTTATGAAGCAGCAGTTAGTTTGCAATTTTTGATGCGATTTTCACTTCGAGTCATCCGGAAAGAATCTCTCTGTACTTTAGTACATCTGTACATGAGTAAGATTGTGTATAACCGACCCTCCCTTTACGCACTGAAGGTGTGTCAGTATTTCACAATGAGAATTTTCTAAAATGAAAATGTTGAGTTTAATCCAACACGATATAGTAAATATATGTATGAACACTCAGTTTTTACGTGGAAACCCGAAAGGGAGAAAACCACGGGACTTTTTAGGCTAATGTCCAAGCCCTCTCCTTCTCATTAGGACTCTCCTCACCATTACATAGTACATTTTGAACTCCCATCAATGGAGTATTTGAGCTATTCTAAAGGAAGAAGGAAGAAAGAAGGGATCCCCAAAACATGGAGGGAAGCCTCAGATTTATAGGGGAAAGGGGAAGGGTGCTCTCCACCCTAATGGGCCAAATACGGGCCTACTGGGCCAAGGTGGGCCGGATGGCCAGAATGGGCCGAAACGGGCCTTACCGGACGGGCTCCGTACTATATCAAGTCTTGGGCTCCTGAACAGTAACGGACCGGGATAATATATCCCAACACAAGTCCCCCAGTTTCTTGAGTAGTGAGTGCGCGAATCTGCTCGAGAAAGTATATTCTTGCCTGCGCTCTACCTCTGCCTGGCTGGAACTTGTGTCTTCACATAATCATAACATATGAGTGAGTGTCTGCACTCCTGAACGTAATCTGTCGGTGAGGCACCCCCCTTCTCAACAGGGTCGGGCGAAGGGTGCTCCTCCACGGGAACACTCCCCCTGAATGCGTCAGGCGGGAGTAAGGACTCTGACTCGAGCTTTCCAATCGGAGAAGCTTAGAGGTCCATGCATCTATAAACCGACGTCGCGGTACTGTCAAAACACGATGCTCATGTGTATGTATGAATGTATGAGGTATGATGCATGAATGCATGAATGCATGTAATGTATGGGTGCAATGTATGGGAGAAGGAATGTGAGATGTGATGGAAAGCGGTGGCTCTCATCGATTACCCGGGCATGTCAGCGCCGAGAGGCAGACGTGCTGCATAAGAGATGTTCGTCGCCATCCTGGAAGGGATGGGCGAGCCGAACATGAGCCAGACACGATGGCACAGAGGCGCTGATCGTGCTGCATAAGACGTTCGTCGCCACCCTGGAAGGAATGGGCGATCCGAACGTGAGCTGGGTACGATGGCGCTGAGGGGCCGATCGTACTGCATAAGACGGTCGTCGCCATCCTGGAGGGAATGGGCGATCCGAACCGTGAATCAGGACACGATGGCGCTGAGGGGCCGATCGTACTGCATAAGACGGTCGTCGCCATCCTGGAGGGAATGGGCGATCCGAACCGTGAATCAGGACACGATGGCGCTGAGGGGCCGATCGTGATGCATAAGACGTTCGTCGCCACCCTGGAAGGGATGGACGAGCTGAACGTGAGCTGGGTATGATGGCGCTGAGGGGCCGATCGTACTGCATAAGACGGTCGTCGCCATCCTGGAGGGAATGGGCGATCCGAGCCGTGAATCAGGACACGATGGCGCTGAGGGGCCGATCGTGATGCATAAGACGTTCGTCGCCACCCTGGAAGGGATGGACGAGCTGAACGTGAGCTGGGTACGATGGCGCTGAGGGGCCGATCGTACTGCATAAGACGGTCGTCGCCATCCTGGAGGGAAATGAGCGATCCGAACCGTGAATCTGGACACGATGGCGCTGAGGGGCCGATCGTGATGCATAAGACGTTCGTCGCCACCCTGGAAGGAATGGACGAGCTGAACGTGAGCTGGGTACGATGGCGCTGAGGGGCCGATCGTACTGCATAAGACGGTCGTCGCCATCCTGGAGGGAAATGGGCGATCCGAACCGTGAATCTGGACACGATGGCGCTGAGGGGCCGATCGTGATGCATAAAAATAGTGATGATCATCTCATGGCCCTCGGCCTCTCGCGGCCCTCGGCCGTGCTGGTGATGTGTCAAGTCTCTCTCCTGATTGGCTGTGAGAAGCCGATCGTCTGCCAGGACTCCATCCGGGAAGGAATGGTGAGCCTGAAATAAATCCGGGCGATGTCCCTCCTACCTGATCTGGGGAGCTAATCGTCGTTCGTCTACCGTATCCGTGGTCCTATGTACGGACCGCTAAGCGGTGTACACTCGGTACGCAACAGACTCCGGTGGAGAACTGGTCCTGCGTGTCTGACCCATGGGGCTGGTCTTCGTTCGTCTACCGTATCCGTGGTCCTATGTACGGACCGCTAAGCGGTGTACACTCGGCACGCAACAGACTCCGGTAAAGAACTGGTTCTTCGTTCTTCCCAAGTCTCGTGAGTACTGGTCTCCTGGTTTCGCAGGAGACGTTCGTCATCCCAACTATGAGAAGAAACAGGTTTATCCACGTCGGGATTCCCTATTCTTCGTTCGTCCCTGTCGTGGTCCTACTAATCTTCTTACTTCGAAGAAGACGTTCGGTCATCCAACGATCGCAAGGAGGAACAGGTTTATCCACATCGGGATTCCCTATTCTTCGTTCGTCCCTGTCGTGGTCCTACTAACCTTCTTACTTCGAAGAAGACGTTCGGTCATCCAACGATCGCAAGGAGGAACAGGTTTATCCACGTCGGGATTCCCTATTCTTCGTTCGTCCCTGTCGTGGTCCTACTAATCTTCTTACTTCGAAGAAGACGTTCGGTCATCCAACGATCGCAAGGAGGAACCGGTTTATCCACGTCGGGATTCCCTGCTTCGTCGCCCCATGCTCGTGACCCTACTAGCCTTCTGCTCTGGCAGAAGGTGTTCGTCGAACCACGGGTCATGGGAGGAACTGGTTTATCTTGCCGAGGTTCCCTTTGGTACGTCTAGCCCCCCCACGTTCCTACTAGCCTCCGCGTCGGGAGACGTTCGTCATACGCGGCGAAGGAAGATCAGGCATACCTCGTCAAGACTCCCTCTCTCATAGGAGCTTTTCTCTCCCCTTCTCCCCATTTTTTTTTTTTTTGAGGGAGGAAAATACGTTCATCGGTTCTAAAAATGACCACAAGTGATGTCACACATAATGGTGGTGGGATACAAAAACGAATAAAATGACGAGGCGATGGAATAGCTGGTCGTCATGCGATGGCGATGGTCACCCTCCTTGAGGGGAGGGGTGAGCCCGATCGCTAACTCAAGAAGGTCGGCATTGGGAGCCGATAATGATCATAATGTCGCTGAGCAGTCGGTCCTGATAAGGAGATGACAATAGTGTCCGATCAAGCCGATATATCCAAGCAACGGCTCTCATCCACGCAGCGCGGGGATGAAACCGGTCTTCAAAAGATAAATATGTTGTGCCGGGAGGCCGAACATAACATGATAGTGTCGGCAGTAAGAGGCCGACCTGAAAGAATCAAGCAACGGCCCTCGTCCGCGAGGGGCGGGGACAAGGCCGGTCTTCAAAAGATAAACACGCCGTGCCGAGAGGCCGGTCGTGATATAATAACATCGACAATGAGAGGCCGATCTGAGAAAACAAGCAACGACCGTCATCCGCGCGGAGCGGGGATGAAACCGGTCTTCAAATATGGAAAGAACGCCGAGCCGGGAGGCCGGTCGTGATATAACGGTGTCGGCAATGAGAGGCCGATATGAGAAAACAAGCAACGGCCGTCATCCGCGCGGAGCGGGGATGAAACCGGTCTTCAAATATGGAAAGAACGCCGAGCCGGGAGGCCGGTCGTGATATAACGGTGTCGGCAATGAGAGGCCGATATGAGAAAACAAGCAACGGCCGTCATCCGTGCAGTGCGGGGACGAGGCCGGTCTTCAAATAAGATAAACACGCCGTGCCAAGAGGCCGGTCGTGATATAATGATGTCGGCAATGAGAGGCCGATCAAGTGTATCCGTGCAACGGCTCTCATCCGCGCAGCGCGGGGATGATACCGGTCTTCAGGTGATAAACACGCCGTACCGTGAGGTCGGTCGTGATGTAAGGATGGTCCCACGACCCTCGGCCGTAGTGGTCTCCTCTAGGCCACCGGCTCCTGGTGTGGAGATGCTCGTATCACGGCTCTCAGCCGTGATGGTTTCCTCTTGGCCCTCGGCCTCTGGATGATGGATGATCGTCTCACGGTTCTTCGCCGTGGCAGTTCCCTCTAGACCCTCGGCCTCTAGGTGTTCTTCCTAGGCCATCGGTCTCTGGGGTGGAGATGCTCGTCCCACGGTTCTCAACCGTGGTGGTCTCCTCTAGGCCCTCGGCCTCTAGGTGGAGATGCTCGTCTCACGGTCCTCAGCCGTGATGGTCTCCTCTTTAGCCGGCCCTGCACGTCTTCAAGACTCGGGCCGAGCGTCTTCTAATCATTTCGCTCAAGCGCGTCGAGTGGCTTCAGCTGCGCAATAAGCATGGTAACGGGCCGCACGGCCCGACAATAAATATGCACACATAACCATCTGCGTGGCTTTCTCTTTAACATCCACGATTACCGGCCTATGGGTCATCGTGACCCTCGGTCCGGCTCATCGTGCGGGGGTAAGGGACGTAGGCTACGTAGCAGCTCGCGGCGGGGCCAATTAGCGGCCCACCGATCGTCACATAAAGATATTCATCAGTCTGTGAGTTTTCAAACTCAGACCCAAGTTGGTCGCACTGCCCTCGGAAAAACGAGGTTGGGTGCTTTGGTGCCCTCGGGCCCCATAGGCCACGTTCGGCAATAGTCACCTCGCGCCTAATGGCGTAGATGGTACTAGGGTACGATCGTCGCTTGAGCACTTGGTGCCGTGCGGACTAATGCGTAACCCCCCAAATTAAAACGCGTCATCGGGGCACTACCCTCTGGAGACGCTCAGATCGCTAATCAAAGCCGATCGAGAGTGGGCTAATCGAACCCACCAACAATTAAATATTTAATAAAAAAGTTGGCTGAACTGATTATTACTAGAGCTTCGCTCTGCATTATTTAATTCGGGACATTTTATCCCTAATAAATAATAGTGATATAACCGGTAATAGCAATGATACTTTCCTATCAAAGGCCATTCAAGTATACTCCGTTCGCTAATTAAAGCCGATCGGGAGCGGGCCTAAGGGCTCACAACAATCAGTCATTTAATTTAAATGACGGTGAAGCTAATTATCACTTAGAGCATCGCTCGGCATTATTTAATTTCGGGAAGTCTTATTCCCTATTAAATAATGGTGATAAAAATACTAGCAATACTAATATTTGAACAATTAATGTACCAATATTGAAGTATGGGTATGGGTACTTAACTGAAGTGGAAATTACCCGTGTGGTATAGTTTTGGAGTCTGTATTTCATTTATGTCCTGGGGCAGAATCCTTTTCATATTTAACTTTTAAGTTTTCACTTTTGGTTTCTTTATTTCAAAAAGAAACTAAACCCTGAAGGCCTAAATCCAATCAAATCCAAAAATCAAAATCGGACTCTGCACATTTGCCTTCATCTCCCTGGTACTCAAGCTTCCGTATTTGTAGAACTATTTTCTCGATCGATCGTCTCTCTTAGTCTACTTTAATCTCTCGGAGGACCTCACTTTCATCTCAACTTGTCTTCTCCAATTGTCAATTCGTTCGTGGAATCGGTGCCGACTTTGAGTAGTTGCTTATATCTGTTTTTTTTCTTCTTCACCGTCGCCTGGCTCTGCAAATCTTTGATCGATCCTCAACAACCATCCATCGCTGTAGCCTTCCAATTCCTCCACCAGCACAACACCTCCAACGGCCTTCTGACTGTCGCAGTTGACCGGTTGCCAGCTAGTTTTCAGTCTGCTAGTTTGCAGTTTGCTGCTTGTTTTGTTACTCGATACTAGACTCCAATTCAGGTTTTTTTCTAGTTTGATCTTCATTTTTTGTTTTTAATTTTGTTTTTGTTTCAGCCTTTCAACTTTAATTTTTAGTTTCGGCCTTATTTTATTAAAAAGCATTGAAACGTTCATGACCTTACTAATATATGTGCTGATTATAATTCCAGTTTTGCAATTGATGCAGGCTTTTATTATTGTAGTTTATTTTTAATTTTTCCATTCAATTGAAAATTAACATTGAAATGTTCATATAGTTTGCTTAGTATTATTGTTTACAACAATTGTTTTCTAGATGCACAATTTAGTACTCCCCTACTCCCTCATAGTGTTTAACAATAGCTGTTATGTGTTATATGCAAACAGAGGTATTATATTCTTATTGAACATGATGATTGTTTATGAATTTATGATCAAACAGTTTTCCAGAAAGCCAACATTCCTTGAATTGTTATAAAGAAGAACGTAATGAAGGGATAGTTCCTAATTCCCCAACTTCATGAACTGAATTACATGGTTAATAATTCAATATTGCTTGAGATTTGAATGTGTCCCCTAGAGCTATCTTCCATAATCTCATCATTATTGAATTACAGTGACTTATTGAAACTGCTTTACTTCCCAAAGCTTCTCACCAAGAGCTGCTCCTTCCATTTCATGTGATACTGCCAATTCCACACAGTTCTTGGCCATTGTCAAGTGTCAACTCTATCCTCTCCACTCAAAAAGTTGTAAAGATATGCAACCACAATGTTGTAGATATGTTTAGGAAGACTTCTTCAATACTATTTAAACATGCTATTTAAACATGAACCATCCATCCTTTCTACCACATATTAGTCTTCTTTATTTCTTCCTAATGCCAATTTAAATACATGCTAAGAGCTTATTGGCGGTTGCAATGTTAATTTCAACTTGAGATGGCTAATTGGTGGTTTGACTCCTCTGTTATGGTTGGGTTATTATTCACTTGAAAGATTCATATTTTGCAGGTAAGAAGTGTCATCAATTGGCACGCAGAAGGAAAGACAATGGTATATCAATCACGTTTTCAGTGAGGCACACCAACACTGGGGACATATGGAAGACGAAATCTTAAGAAGCAAAGCCAAATAATATCATAAATAAATGTAGTAAACAACAATAATAGATTAATTAGTATATTTGTTTCTATATTTTTTGTTGCTTTTTTATTGTATCACATGTATTGCTTTTTGTTGCATTCTGTTGCATTTTGTTACATCATGTTACTTTTTGTTGCACCGTGTTACTTTTTGTTGCATCGTGTTTCTTAATATTATTGTTTATTACTAATTTAGTTTTTTTTGTTTATTTCGATTTCGGTTTATCTTTGGTACTTCCTTGAAATCAAAGTATCTATATAGATTATATACAAACTCCTAAAATGCTAATTTTGGATTTATGAATATAAAAACAACTAGAAACATAAAGAAACAAAAGAAAACAAAAATTTCAAAACTATCAACAAAAAGAAACACAAAGAAACAATAAGAAAAATAAATAAAATGATAATAATAATATATAAATGAAGTCTATGTCTAAAGAAAATACATTAAAAAATTTTAATTTTTAATATTTTCAAAATTTTTAAGGTTTATTTTAATTTTTAATATTTTATTCCTTAATTATTTTAATTTTACACCTTTTTAGGTTACACCAATTTTTTGATTATTTATAACTCTATGAAATACGGAGTACTTGTTTATCATTTTTTATTATATAAAATTTAATTTAAATATTTTGAACATTTTCAAATTTTATATATTTATTCGATTTTTTATTTATAAGATGCACATTTCCAATAATTTCAAACTAATAACTTTTTTTTATAAAAAAATTCTAATTAGTTTTCATACTATTTAACAGTTTCAAATATTTTTTATCTTATTTCATAAAAATTCGTTTATCATTATTAGTTTTAATTTTTCACTAATCTGTAAGCACTTTTTTAATTAAATTTTCGATTTTTATATTTTTATATAAATTTATTAACCATTTTAAACTTTTCATATATAAAAATCGTATTTTTTACATTTTTATAATTTCCCCACATATTTAATTATTTTAAATCTTTTTTATTTTTAATTTCAAACGATATATTTTTTAAAATTGAAATTTGTTTATGATGTTTTAAACTTACTTTACAAGATTTCATCATAAAATCTTTTTTAGGTTTTTTTTTCTGTACTTTGAGTATTTTTTTACTTTTTAATTTAATTTTAGTTTTTTACGTTTATTGTTTTCTAATGATTATCCTTTTATTGAATTTTAATGAATTTGAAAATTTTCTATATAAAAATAAAATTTTGACTAATTGTTACACCTGAGCATCTAAACCTTAGTAAGATTTAAAACCTACGTGCATTTGATCTGGATATCCCCAATAGTAGCGTTCCGGTAGATGTGGCTACTTTATATATGTAGTCTATTTTTGAAAGAAAAAACGTAACCAGTCTACTTTTGAAAATAAACTTTGTTGGTGATAAAAGTGACATAATTTTCACTTTTCGGCTTATTGTGATATTTTCCCTTAACTGAATAGGCTCGGCCAGACTGATATCTTGCAGTAGTGAAGATTGAGCTCATTTCCCCAATTTTGACCCGGTCAAAGTTCCTCCAAAGAAAATCAATTATGCTCTTTGTACACACAATTGCACCCACCTAATACACACTATATAAACCCCCAAAAAAATTACCTCCCACTTTTCCCCTCCCCCTTTTCCCCTCACCTCACCCGCGTAACCCACTCACTCCCACCCCCTTTCTTGAAAATCAAAACACCCGCACCTGCTCTCTTCTTCCTTCGACGATCATAAGCACCAAAAGCAAAGATAATTTCTGGATTTTACTTCCTCTGCCATGGATTTTTACACAGACGACAGCATGGTGAGAAACGACGCTGAGTTTTGGGCTTTGTTGAATGTTGTTCCCGGCGGTGGAGAAGGTGGATACGCCGCCGGAGCTGGAGAAACTGACGGACAGACGGCCGAAGGTGGAGAAGGTGATGACATGACTTCCGGGGGCGGAGAAGGCTCTGGACAGAAGGCCGGAGGTGGAGAAGGTGATGGACACAATGGCGGACGTGGAGAAGGTGACGCTGAGACGGACCTTGCCGGAGAGGATGAAGGACTGACGTCGCCGGCGGCCATGGACGTCGTTTCTGACCTCGGTATGACTTCATCTCATGGTTTTTGTAGTTTATTGAAGATTAAAATAGCTTTCTTCTCACAGGCATGTTCTTATGTGTTTATGTGAGGCATGTTCTTATGTGTTTATGTGTTTAATTGTTTGTGTACGTAAATAGTGGTGGATACATAATGTGTCTGTGTACCCCTAAGTTAGTTTCAACTCATGCATATGTTTCTTCAATAATCTGTGAAACTTTTGAATTGTCTGTGCTTACCCCTTAATAGAATTCAACGTGTCTGTGAAGCTTTTGAATTGTCTGTGTATGTGCATATATCACTGTTTGTGTGTACTAAATTGTTTGAAATATATGCATACGTTTGTGGACACATGCAAGTTGTAGGAGGTGTCACTTGTTTATGTGTGTGTTTGTTTTTGTATGTAGACAGTGGAAGAGTTGTTTGTTTGTGTAGTATTGAACATGTATGTTAAAGTTTGGAATTGTCTGTGTGTGAATATATCACTGTCTGTGTGTAAGTTTAAGTTTGTTGAAATGCATGAATAAATGAGCAATTTACCATAACAGATGGAGAAGGGTTGGCAAAGGAGAGTGAACTTGGTAAAGATCCGGAAGTTGGTATGGAGTTTGAAAGTAGAGAAGCGGTCTATGATTTTTACAAAGCATATGGGAAGCGTTTGGGATTTCCTATAAGAACTAGGAGCACAACGAAAGACAAAAGAGGAAGACAGATTGTGTCAATTGTACTGGAGTGTTCGCGGGCTGGTCATAGAGCTAGTCAGTCAAAAAATCAATTGAAGCCCCAACCTTCAATGCAAATAGGGTGTGGAGCTAGACTACGTGCACACGTAATTTATTCGGGACTTTGGCAAATTTCAAAAGTGTTTCTACAACATTCACACCCTATGAGTCCAACAAAGGCCAGACTATTCCGGTGCAATAGGAGGTTGACTCATGGAATGGCGAGGAAACTTGCAATAAATGAAGTTGCGGGAATACGACTTAATAAAAGCTTCACCGCGGCCGTTGTTGAAGCCGGCGGATATGATCAACTTCCTTTCATTGAAAAAGATTGTAGGAACTATATAGATAAAGTGAGACAACTTAGGTTAGGTAGTGGCGATGCAATTGCCATTCAAGGGTTCTTTGCTAAAATGCAAGACCAATGTCCCGGATTTTTCTTTGCACTTGACTTAGATGAGGAGTCAAGATTGCGTAATGTTTTTTGGGCGGATAATAGGTGTAGATATGCGTACAAAGAATTTGGAGATGTCATAACATTTGACACGACCTATCTTACGAATAGGTATGACATGCCTTTTGCACCATTTGTCGGGGTAAATCATCACGGGCAATCATTGTTAATGGGATGTGGATTAGTCTCTAATGAAGATACGCAAACCTTTGTGTGGTTGTTTAAATCATGGCTTAAATGTATGGATGGAATTGCTCCAATGGGGATTATTACCGACCAAGACCGTGCTATGCAAAATGCCATTGCAATTGTTTTCCCAAATTCAAACCACCGATGGTGTTTATGGCACATAATGAAAAAGGTACCCGAAAAACTCGGAGGGGATGCAGAAAAAGATGAAATATTAGATGTTATACATGACTGCATTTATGATTCACAATACACCCAAGAGTTTGAGGAGAAATGGCTTGAAATGATTCAAAGGTATGATTTTGTAAGTTTTTTTTCCTTCTGGCAGTAACTATTTCTCTACCTCATAGACAGGTGTGTTTGTCATCGACAATATGATTTGTACTTCACGGACACAATGTGTTTGTGGACAGTGAATAAGTTCTTTGTCATTTATTTTGAAACTTACTTTGTGCACTTTAAATGTGTTCAGGTTTTCACTTCAAGAGCATGATTGGCTTGGGGTGATGTACAATGAAAGAAAGCGCTGGGTACCATGTTATTTAAAGCCAACGTTTTGGGCCGGCATGTCCACAACTCAACGAAGTGAGAGCATCAATGCTTTTTTCGATAAGTTTGTTAATTCGAAAACCACTCTAAAACAATTTGTTGAACAATATGGATGTGCTTTGCGTGATAAGGTGGAAAAAGAATTTCAAGCGGATACTAGCTCATTTACCAAAATGATTCCATGTGTGACTAGATATCCAATGGAAAAACAAGTGCAACAAATTTACACCCTTTCTAAGTTTGCGGAGTTTCAAAGGGAATTACTTGAAGGAAAGCTTTATTGTGACATCCTTTTATGTGAAGACGGTAGAAAATACACAGTGCAGGAGCATATGGATATTAATGGATTTAAGAAGAATGTGAACTTCTATATTGACTTTGACCCAATTACTTGTTTTGGAATATGTAGTTGTCATTTGTTTGAGTTTAGGGGAATGATATGTAGACACTTGCTTGTGGTCTTTAATCGGCTTGATATACATCACTTGCCCGAGGTGTACCTAATGAGCAGATGGAGGAAAGACATGAAAAGAGCGTACCAACGAGTGAAAATCAATTACGACGGGTGGATTACAACGATTGAACAACAACGCTTTGACAAGTTATGTAAGACCTTTGAATCTCTTGCCAACATGATTGCGGATGATGAAGTGAAATACAATGAAGTCCTCGTTTGGTTGGAAACCCAGTTGACCACATATACTCCTCCAGTTAGTGATTCTTGTATTGTTGGCAACATGACGCCACTTGAAGATCCAACAACAAGTATTCGTGCCGAGGTCCCACTTCCACCTATTGGAGATCCAAAATGTACGAAGCGCAAGGGAGCTCCAAGGAAAAACCGGGCCAAGGGTCCACTAGAAAAGGGGAAGAAGAAAGGAAGGGCTAAGAAGGATACTGCAGGAGGTGAAGGCCCTAGTACTGCTGCATCTAATGTGCCAATCCTGTACTCTACTAGTTTAGATTTAAATCTATCTTTGATGTGAATACATATACTATGATGTACTGTTTGTTGTTGTATCATCAATGACACTTTTTGTTTGTAGTCACAGACAATTTTATGTCCTCACAGTCAGATCTGTGTTCAGCCACAAACAAGAATATTGACTCATAGACACAATAATTTCCAGGCCACAAACAATAATATACTTATAGTAGTAGACTTAGTATGTACTTATATATTAATTATGTACTTATAAATACATATATTATATTACTTATAGTAGTGGACTTATTTATTACATACAATAAACATTATATTATATATTTCTTATACATTTATTATATCTACTAATCTAGTTCGAATTATCTACTTATTAAATAGTTGATTTAACATATATAAATAGTTCGAATTAACTATATATACTTATCTATATATACACACATATATTTCGAAGTCATTATCTACTTATTAAATAGTTGATTTAACATTTATAAATAGTTCGAAATAACTATATATACTTATATATATATACACATGCATTTACAAACACATGATAATCCGAAATCCATACCAAAATGTTACAAATTAGGCAAAAACCATCATAGTAATGTTGTTACAATTTTACATGCTTCGTTTGAGCCCTCTTGGGGTTAACCTTGTAGGATAGTGTACAAGGTTGATTAAAGTACAACGGTGTACATTATCATACATTCCTTTACAAAAGCTTAGCCAAAACACAAAACCAGGTACATAGTGTTTGTTACATGGGAACCTTGAAAGTAATGTTTGTACATGAGCAAAAAATATACATGTGGATGTGAGCAAAAAATAGACATGTGAATGTGTCTAACAAACTGTGTTCCTCAATTTCCAAAGACGCAGGGCGAAGTGCCATCTCTTTCTGGCCACGTTCGCATACTCGCAATGTGGCGTCAAGGGTAGTCCCAACATCAATGCCTCCGTAAAAGATATTACCATGAGTCCACAAACAGTTCTGCAACACAGACATAATAAACAATTATGAAGTGGTCACAGACAAAATTGTACACTACACATAAACAATTTCTTGATGAACACCTACCCTCCCTCTTGTTGCGGTACATCTGCAACTGCCTCCGCATTCCATTGCTTTACGTCACGCACATCTGGGTGAACTTTAATGACTCCGAAGAGGAGCGGAAGTCTCACACATAACTTTGACGCATGCAACCTTGATCTACTTGTTCTCATTGAGTCATAGACACGCACCAGTTTTGATTTTAGGTCAATTTCCGCTAAAACCCAATGCATACCTAAAACATTTAGAGGTACGAAAACCTGAACACAATAAAAAATAAACAATACATTAGCACTCATTTTGTTATTAAAAAAAAGCAAGAAAATAATGAAATAAATAAGAAAAAAATACACAGGCATGAAAGAAATAAGAAAAAAATACAGACAAGTAAATGACGAGTTTAAGCACTTACTTTTTCCAACCCTCTCCAGTCAACACTTGGTAGAAACCTATCAGCAGTCCAGACGTCCTCATCCTTATCATCCTTACTCAAGAGTTGATGCTACACGAACAAAACATTTTAATTACGTAAACAATTATGTGATTAATTATTTACGAACAAATCATAAATTATTATGTAGGTTTGGTTAAAATAAGCAATACATACCGTAAAGTAAGGATTCATTAGCTTATACGGCTTGTCCGAGTTACAATCTTTTAGAACCAATAACGAAAGAGCATCCATATGCTAAGAAAAAATATAGTCAGCCATATATATATATATATATATATATATACACACACACACACACACACACACATACATACATGACAAGTTTAGAAAGTAATGAAATAGATAAGGCACTCACATAGGACCATAATGTCTCGTCTGGTTCAACAAGCTTACGGAAAAATTCCCTGTTCACTTCATCAAATGATGGCAGATTCAAAACAACCGCTGATGGTTCATCATTGTCAGCTTCCTCAATCCAAGCCTTGAGAGATGCAATATCTGCATCAGTTGGGTGAAACATAGCAGGCTGAATTGAGACAATTGGTTCAACATATGGTGAGCTTTGGTACTTTGAACGGGACCGTTTTCTCTTTTTCACTTCTTTTCTGCTCAGAAGTTGAAGGCCTTCAACATCAACCGGTGCACTACCAACATCGGCTCCATCCCAATCCAAATTTTCAAATGGACCGGGCGGTGTTAATGTAGGTAAGTTGTCGTCCTCCACCTGCATACAGTCCTATTACACACAGGCATATTTTAGTAAACACAGACAAACACTTATATGCACACCAACATTTCTAATAAGACACAGACAAGACAGTCTTCATACTTTACAAAACATGCAATTATATGCTTCTTCAACAATCTGAATTTTTTTTACAACAATCTGATTTTACAACACATAACTTAATCCTATGTTCACATATAGCCAGCCATGTCATTGAAACAAACACTTATATGCACACCATTAATGACTTTCATACACAGACAATACAAACTCCAAAACACATATTTACCTCGTTTAAACACATCATTAGATCTGGGAACCTGTTGGCTTCCTTATTCTGCTCTGTTTCCCAATTCCCCTATTACATAAAGAAGTACTTCATTTCTCATTCTACAAAAATAACAAAGAATCATAAAAAAAAATATACCTCATTCACCACAGTTGAGATGATGATATTGCCGTGTGTGCCACCTTCTTTATCACCACCTTCCTTATGACCAGCATCTTCATCATCCACCAATTTCTTCATCGGCAGTTGTTCAGATTCTTCATTTACAACCGCGGTGTTCATCGCCACTTGTTGAGGGGCGTGGCTAGGTTCCTCCGAGGGCAGTTTCTCTTCACTGTCAACCTCACCGTCAACCTCACCGGCATAATCATTATTAACACCATTTTCATCCTCACCCTGAACCGCACCTTCATCCTGATGAACCACATCATCATTATCAACCTTATGAACCTACAATGCAGATAATTTAATGTGTTGGTCGCCAAGATAATGAAAATGGCCCGTAAATGACACACAAAAGTAATGTAGACCTTACCTCTTGCTCACTTGATGGGTTCTGATTGTTAATCAACTTCAGAAGAAGCACCTTCATTTCTGAAATACTATCCTCAACACAACTAATCTTCTTTTCTACCCTTTCTACACACAGCCGTAGGTCTTGCATCTCTTCCAGTATTTTTAGTTTTTCAAAAGTGCGAACGTCTTCATGGATTCTTTCATCTTCTTCCTCTCCCTCCTCTGAATCATCAACCTTCTCCTCCTCCTAGGGGAAATATATAAGTAAAATAAACGCTATTTGAAATGAACTTAATGAATGAGACACACATACCTCTGGAAAGACCAGTCGTCTAAGCTTTGAGTAATGGAATTTCCGTGCAGCAGACCAATTCAGCAAAGGCACGTCACGATTAGCCACTTTGTTTGCAAAGTTGTTACCAACTTCAGGAATTTCTTCGTATGCCCACACCTGTAAAAATCAGAATCTCATTTATTCATTGTTAATCGAACACATTGTTAGTGAAGTAAATATCCATAGTTATCCAAACTATAAATTGAAATAGTTCAAATTTAAATGCAGTAATATATACACAACTAAATGTATATATAAACAAATATACCTGCAAAACAAGTGGAAAACCGTACAACGATAACTTTGCATTCTTATACTTAGGATTGCTCTGCTTTTTGTCCTTGAACTTCTGAGGTTGGTCATGCATCAGGTCCTTCATATGCTTCACTAATATCTTGTAAGAACGAAGTGACCACGGACACTTCCCGAAAGCCTCTAAATCATTCACCAGTCTGATTGATGGTGCATTTATCCTCGTAGTGTTGTCCTTCGCAAGCAAAACGCACTCAATGTAGAACAACGACGCCAACTTCACAGCATCCATCAAATCAGCACGTTTGGAAAACCTCAGTTTCTTCATTATCTTCTTCAAAGTGACGTGTGTAATGTCAACTTTGCCACCAAAATATTTCTGAGCAAGGGCCCCTACAGGTTCAGGTTCTTCGGCTGAATCGTGTCCAGAATCATGTCCAGAATCCTGTCCAGAATCTTCATCCTCAGCTGCCTCAGGTTCTGGTTCAACACCTATTGGTAATCCACTTATATGGCAAAAATCCACATAAGTAAACTTATACAGTCTACCCCCAATGGAAAACCACAGCTCATCATCCGGTTGGTCCTTCACTAGGTGTAAGGCCAGCATGTGCAAAATTTGGCCAGAATTGTCTGTCTCTGGGATGTCAATGAGATGCCCCCATGGTAAATCTCTAAACATTTCCCTTTGAGTTTCATTTAACCTCTTTTTTACCCACTTCGCTGCATTTCTAAAGTCTGAACACACAGAGTACTGCGCGGGGAAATACTCGTGACTCGGGATGCGTAACTTCAGCGGACTGGCAGTTGGACAAACATAAACTTGTTTATGTCAAACATTAAATAACACCCCACATGAAATTTACACCAGCACACACACAACTTGTAAACATAGACAAAGGAAGTACACTATAATAGACACAATTTGATTCACAGACAGTAACTAACAATTCAAATGAACCACACCACTACATAGCCAACTTATGAACTCAAAATGCACATTATTTGATTCACAGACAATAATTAACAACAAATTTACTTTACACCACCACACAGGCAACTTATAAGCATGCAAAAAAACAATTATACTATATCACAAACACAATTTCATTCACAGACAACAATTAACACGTAATGAAGATTTCACCACCATACACACACCTTATAGACATTAACAAAGGAAGCATACCATATCATACATAAATGTTGATTCACAGACAATACTTCACATGTTCACAGTCTATAAACCAGCCCATAGTTCCATGCTCGAAAATTGCTATAAACCCAAGAAACAAAAAAAAAACCCTAAAAACAAACAAAGGTTGGGAAATGATACATACCACTCCGCCATCTCTGACAGTGGGGTTCGCACAATTGCTGAGCCTCGTCGTCCTAAACAAGAGCACGAGGAAGGGGCCTCCTCGCTTCAAACCTCGAATCGCTTGGACAAGGTCTTCCACTCGTCCCAGATTGAGAACAGTTACACCGGAAGGGGGGAGCGAGTGAGATGCCGGTGATGGATGTCGGTTCACACCTCAAACACAGAGAGCCCGTGGGGATGTGGGTGACAAGTATGGGGGAGAGGATTTCGGACTCTGAAGGACATCGGGTGTTTTGATTTTCAAGAAGGGGGGGGGGGGAGCGAGTGGGTAACGCGGGTGAGGAGAGGGGAAAAGGGGGAGGGGAAAAGTGGGGGTAATTTTTTTGGGGGTTTATATAGTGTGTATTGGGTGGGTGCAATTGTGTGTACAAAGAGCATAATTGAAAGAAAATTGGCTCTCCACTGCCTGGCCCTTATCTCTCGGACGTGGTCTGCTGAGCACCAAGGCATCTGGTCGATGTGCAGTACCCCATATCCTCTGGAAAGCTGGCTGAAGCAACGGTTCACCAACCCCAGGCCAAACGTCGGAGGTATCGACATCTGGCTGGAGGTTGAGCTGAGACGGAGAAAGGGTCGGCGTCAGGCGATGGCGCTGCAGCGGCAGTAGAGAGGCGAGCCAGGACCGGCGAAGAAGCAGAGCGTCTGCGGCGGAGGAGTGGCTGTCAGGGTCCGATTTTCTTTCTCCGCCATCTCCCCTGAGTACTACTCCGCCCCTGCAGATCGTCAAGAACCACTGGGTTCGTGGGGACTGGTTTAAACGGACCTGGGAGTTGCCAGGTGCGGCACCGGGCGAGTCCCGAGGAACGGTGAACTCTCCGGCCGGCGGCGGCGGCGGACCATCAGCGGTGCAACGAAACCTGGGTCGTCGTGGTGATCTTCTACCGTATTCAGCGAACTCCAGCGGGACAGTCAGCTCCAGACGATACACGGCCGCAGGAGGTGACAGACGCTTCCAGCTTAAATCAGGGAGAAACCCAGATTCTTCCATTTTTCCTCCTCTTTTGCTTTCCAGAATCCTTCCAGAAATTTTTTTGTAATCAGTGCATTTTCGTATGAATTTTTCTTAGAAACGAAGAACAACGTGAATCTTTTTGGACAGATTCCCACAGACGGCGCCAGTGTTGAGTTTAATCCAACACGATATAGTAAATATATGTATGAACACTCAGTTTTTACGTGGAAACCCGAAAGGGAGAAAACCACGGGACTTTTTAGGCTAATGTCCAAGTCCTCTCCTTCTCATTAGGACTCTCCTCACCATTACATAGTACATTTTGAACCCCCATCAATGAAGTATTTGAGCTATTCTAAAGGAAGAAGGAAGAAAGAAGGGATCCCCAAAACATGGAGGGAAGCCTCAGATTTATAGGGGAAAGGGGAAGGGTGCTCTCCACCCTAATGGGCCAAATACGGGCCTACTGGGCCAAGGTGGGCCGGATGGCCAGAATGGGCCGAAACGGGCCTTACCGGACGGGCTCCGTACTATATCAAGTCTTGGGCTCCTGAACAGTAACGGACCGGAATAATATATCCCAACAGAAAACTTTTAAAATCTATTAGAAATTATAGGTTGGGAGTTGGGACTTGGGAGTAGAATAGAAAGAAGATACATTACTCCTACTTTAGGAATAAAAAGACTATACTTCTAATGTGAATTTTGGGCTACTTTTAGTTCCATTTAGGATTAATGGTTGATAGAATTATTGCTATGATAATTTTTTAATTTGAACCATTGAAAATATTGATATCATCCAAGTATGTTTTGATAAATTAAAATAACAACATAGCAGGATAGTCTTCAATCCCATGGGACAACCGAAGTCCGAAAAGAATTAATTTATGTACGTAGTTACTCATAAATTTACATAGTTACATAGATTTATAATCTTACCTTTTTGTTATTCATAAATAATCCAACTTTTGCACCTTATCTTGGTCCCTGACCAGTTGATGACCTGATATTCTAAGTTATTTTTTTTTATCTTTGTAAACCATTACACCACAAATCTCATCTTTCACAAAGATAATATTTTGTAAAGATAAGAAAATAACTTGGAATAACAGGTCATTAACCGTTCAGAACTATCGAATGAAAATGGGTGCCAAAGTTGGATTATTTTTTAATGGAAAATGCTAGGGGTACACAAGTTGTACACAACTTGTACACACAATGTCGGTCACAGACAATTGGTACGGAGTTGTCTGTGATCACATACAAGAGTTGTCTGTGTACACAGACAAATTTTGTCTGTTTCCACAGACATTTACATTTTTGTAAAAAATACTTGTCAGTGTCGGGCGGCTCTCAGTGTACTTTTTACAAAAAAGTAAATGTCTGTGGAAACAGACAAAATTTGTCTGTGTACACAGACAACTCTTGTCTGTGGTCACAGGTAACTCCGTACCAATTGTCTATGACCGACATTGTGTGTACAAGTTGTGTACAACTTGTGTATCCCTATCATTTTCCTTTTTGAATAATGAAAATGTGTGACTATTATAAGAAGACTGCTAAATGGTTGAATTATTAGTTTCCATTTTCCCATTTATTTATTTAAAGGAAGTATCGATCTTAAACAATTCAAAATCACACATTTTAATTTTCCTGATCTTTATGTAGAGTTTCTTTCAAAATAAAATTATTTATGCAGAGTTTGTACTCCGTATATAGAAGCTGCAGGTGAAGTATTGACTTTCTAAGCTAGATTAGGCAACTTACCTTAAATTACGTTTCTTCCTAATTAATTCGAAAACTACACAAATCTACGTTCTTGTAACCTCTATATATTGATCAAAATCCAGAACACATATAACTAAATTAAACCAAGCTCACAAAGTAAAATCGTTCTGCCTCCATTCTACTAGTTTAAGATTACATAGAACCATAAAATTCTGAAAAGAATGTGGTCGGTACCACTCCAACCCCTATGCCCTATACTATCCATATAAAAATGATTTTTGAAAGAAAATTGTGTTTTATATGTATATCCCGGACCAGTTTTCTTTCAAAAATCATTTGACGACCTTTCCGATTGAATTTTTTTCTCAAATTTGGTATGGACGAACTAGACTTGATGAGGAACATACATAAAAAAATTCAGCCAAAAATACCACCGGTTCTTAAGGGTTGTCACGGGTTCTCATTTTAAGAGGGGTTCTCACTAGAACCCTCACCGTAATATATATATACACACACACACAAATATTCAGGTCCGGCCAGGCCGGACCACTCCCCCCGTCCGGCCTCCTCCATTTGGGGGCCTTCCCGATGGTATTTTTTGCTAAAATTTTTTGTGTAGGTTCCTCATCAAGTCTAGTTCATCCATACCAAATTTCAGCCAAAAATTCAATCGGGAAGGTCGTCAAATGATTTTTGCAAGTTAACTGGTCCGGAATATGTATTTTCCGGACCAGTTAACTTGCAAAAATCATTTGACGACCTTCCCAATCGAATTTTGAGCTGAAATTTGGTATGGACAAATTAGACTTGATGATGAACATGCACAAAAAATTTCACCGGGAACCATCCTAAACGGTGGAGTTCGGGCGGTAGCTTCCGTCCCTCTTGTTCATATTTTCTCTAACTACTGCACGCATTAGTTTTTTTTACTAGAGAATTATTAATTCTTCAAAACTTTAGAGTAGGAAACATAAAAATGACTGCCATGATCTCTCATATAGGTGGAGGTATTGTTCATTTGTTCATGTTATCTAAGGGCTTGTTTGTGATCAAAGAAAAGTGATTTTGGCTTTTTTTTTTTTAAGAAAAAATCACTTATTTTACGAAACACTATCAACTTTTACTTTCTCTATTTCCGTATAGAGTCTAATTTTTACTTTTTCTATTACACAAAAAGCACTTATTTAACCAAACACAATCAACTTTTACTACTAATCACGTTTTCTAAAAAAGTGTTTTTATTTAAGCACAAGTGATTGCACACAAAGTCTAAAACTGTTTTTGATATAGTAGCATTTCTGAATTTAAATCATTGACCTGGGGCAAAAACGAAACGACCGGGTTCAAGGCAGGCGCAGTGATGTGAACTCCAATGTGGATTTAAATATGATTAAGAATCGTTTCAGATCCGCAGTTTCCGGTTTCTATAGCTCCGACGCTTTGCATCCCATTCCGCTTGGAAATTCACCAGCGTAGCTTTTTCTGTTCTACGTATAAACTGTCAGACGACAGGGAGCAAATCTTTTAGATTCAGAGGGGAAATCGAAGCTTAGAGATAATAAACCTCACTCCACACTGACTCGTAGTTGAAGGTGACTCCTGGATCTTCGTTTGTTCCACAGTTATCATCTCTTCATCCTGCTCCTCAGGTAATTTTTCATTCTGTTGTTTCTCTAGACGTGGATCTCTGTTATGACGAATCGGTTATGACAATGTTTTAGTTTTTAGTAAGTATTTACTCCAGAATTGAATCTGAGGTTTTGTTTCGTTTCCCCCTTGTTTTTGGTGTTTTGATGCGTAGATCTAAAGAGACTGAAGAGTGAGTGGTGCTTGTGGATATTTTTACGTGCACGTATATGATCGAAGAAGGTCGTGCTATTCTGATCAGGATATGGTGGTTGTGGAGAAGATCTAAGCCCCAGGCTTTTTGTTTCTTAGCATTTGTTAACTGCAAGTGCCCGATCTTGTGCTGATCTGACAGTCGCCTTTGTTTCCAGTTCCTTTTTATCAGATATTGTTCGATCTTACAATTTGCACAAGTGATTAAGCTAGATCTTGTGAGTGAGGTTAGGATCCGAGCCGACTCAGTTATTTGATTCAGATGGAGACACTCGTTTTAGTTTCTGAGCACAGGAACGAGTACTATAACAACCAGGCCAGGGGACATGGCGGTTTTGGTTTTGGGCCCTTTCTATCACCGCCTTCTGGAAGCTTTAGGGAGATAAATTGCCGTACGTTCCATGCAGGATCAGGTTTACTCCCAACGCCTTTAAAGTCGTACTCAACTCCGATCACAAAACGATCTCGTTCCTCTTCAGCTTCTTTTTCACCTAGGACACTATCTCCACCTGTAAATCCATCCAACGATCAGAAAAAAAGGATAAGATCTGTCAGAAGTATTGCGATACCAATTGAACTCAAATTTAGGGATAGTCCTAGGAAGGTTCATTCTATGAAAAAGGACTTTCTTTTCTCAGAGAGATGGGCTGGTCCCACATACTCAAACTCACCTCCTCCCAGTTCTTTACCAATTCCAAAATTTTGTTTGAAGCCTAAAAGGTCTGTTTCTCTGGATTTACCAACTGCAGTTTCTGCTTTTGATTTTCATCCCATTGCTCTTTCAGCACCGACCTCCCCTACCAGGGCATGGAGCTCATCTTCAGAAGATATGTTTGACCTTGATGACTCAGCGACGAAAACCCTCCGTCGCATTCTCAACCTTGACATCACGGATGATTGAGGATCCTGGGGAAGCTAGACCTCCTTCACCAACAAGGAGTGTATCTAGTTTCTAAAGGAAGTAATGATAGATAGTGTATATATGGTGAATAAAGAAACAGTTACTCGAACTGCTTCTAGTTTGTTTGGTTTTTGTAAATGGTCGTGAAGAACAAGGGCATACCTTTCAGCAAGCAGTGGTTACCCGTTTCAAGGGCTTGAATGGCTGGCTGATCAACTATCTTCATAATTTTCTTGCTCTGTTGTGCCCCCTGGATGGATTCTAGCTCGTTAAGTGTTCTGGCGAGTGAATTGGAACTGGTTTCTGAAAGTTACGGGTGGTAATCTTTTGCTACATAGCTTGTAGTTCTTTTGATGCAACTCAAATGGAATTTCTGCGAACTTGCAGAATTGCACAGTGAAAATCCTTAACTACTATCCTCTTTAGAATGTCATATCTGTTTGCCTTCTCTTAGTCAGAGTTAGTTATCTCAGTATAATTTGTATATACCCAAAGTTCTTTTTTTTCATTTGGTTTTCTCTTCCTTGTTGACCATAATCTTAGCTCCGTGTTCTTGTTGTCTCTCTTTCATCCTTCCCTCACTATGACTTTTAGCTCGGTACTTCATATGCTCTTACTGCATAGTCTATTTAGAGAACTGTTTCCTGCAACCACTTTTCCTTCAGTTCCTTGATTTTCCTTTCTTTACTTTCTCATTATATCTCTTAGCCAATATAGGTAGGTCTTAGCCTATATACTTAACATGTCAAAGCTGGTTTCTCCTTTACCATGTTTCTTGTTTTTTTGAAAAGAAAATGGGAAGGGGAAGCATAGATTGCTACATCTATTTCTACCTGAACAGTAATTCCCCAAGGTCTATTAGCTTTTATGTCTCTATTAG